CTGGATGAACCACTACCTATACATGTAAGTACAGACCATACATGAATACCTGGATGAGCTCCTACCCATGCTTGTAAATACGGACCATGCAGAGCTACAGAGTTGTATCTGGATGAATGGCTTTATGTCTTTGTAAATCTAAGTCTATCTTTGCAAGTACAAAAGCTTTATTTGAAAGATTTTGATCGTGTGGTTTATGGTAGGATAAATGCATTTATTTTCTGATGGTCATTATTACCCTTGTTAGTAAATGTGAACATTGTAACTTGGAATGTTTACTTTAATGTGAAGATTTTGTGTAAATTTTGTCTAGAATGAGTGTCAATTTGTGCACACAATGATGTCGTCAGTAGTACAAAGGAATACGTTAACTGTTTCAATGTTTTAATACTGATGTATTGTCCCTGTAAGTAGTAAGGCATTCTTTATGAAACTATTTATTGTTGTCACTCTATTCCACATAGATACATTGGTTTAAACATAAATACATTTTACAATGCATGAATTATCTATGATATCGTTTAGATCTGATGACATTTTCATTTCTATCTTCACAGGAAAATGCGAAAGCCTCAGTTTGTAGAAGAGCTGTTGCCAAAGATTCCTATGAAGTTTTACATAACCTAGTGCAATATTTCCAAATGGTGAGAGCTTGTCTTCATGTTATTTTAAGTTTTAGTTTAAGATAAATCAGATTTACGAAGATAAAGTAGTTTCTTTTATATTGATATATTTATAGGCTTAATTAACCTGTTGTCTGATCCTTTGTCAATACTCTAGTAGTACATGCATGCAATTTGGTATATGTGTATATAATATATATTATTTTCTTATTTTGTAACATCTGATTTTTTATATACAACCTTCATATTCTTATTATATATATATTTTCAATTAAATATTTGGAAATTGAAATATTTTATATTCAGCCATTTTGCATTCATATTTATTTGCTTTTGCTTGTAAAGTCATGTTCTTTACAAGTCACATTGCAAAAATATTACAATACATGATAGCAGAATATAGGATAAAAGATAGATCCTTACTAAATTTGACATTATTAATGTGGTAAGAACATATTTGCAGGAGACGCGTGTGAGTCTACGTCTGAGTCTGTTACAAGTATTTGGGGCCCTTTGTAGTCTGGAGGATGTCATTTTGTCCCACCTCCTGTATTCAGTTTTACCTTTGGAGCTGGTCAGTGACCTCCGAAACAACTATACAGGTGAGTTAACTTCAGTTCATTCTCTGTACTCAGTCTAAAAGTTGAGTAGACTCAATCTCCAGCTTATAACCGCAGTCCCAGACGTTAGACCTCATCCTCAGTTTTAAAATATTTTCTAACCTTTCCCAATGATTTTGTAAATATAACAGACGCATACATTCTAGAATAATCAATTTGATATAAGATGTGTGTTTTAATGAATTCTTGAGTAACTTGTAATTTTTCATTTTCATTTCAAAATGATATTTTCTTTAAAATATATATGTCATTAATCAAATTTTTGAAGGTAACGTAGTTTTTAACTGTTCAAATGCAAATTTGATGGAACTAATTAAACATCTTTCAGCCAGAAGTGTACCCTACCGTGTCCTTTATGTGTGTCTAACATATATGTATTGACTATTGGAGAGATTCATTATATATCTTTATGATCCAAATTTAACTTTTACTAGTGGGGCAGAATGGGTAAACATATTACCCATCCCTCAGACTACCTGCAGTATAAGATTGCTATTCTGGAAAATGTCTCAATGTTTTCTGACAGCAAACTTTACTTACTCAGCACATTAATGAGTTGTTTTGTTAGGTGTTTAGAGTGGAGACACTGGTCATTTATAAGTAAAAATAATAAATATTTTTTATTTAACGTCGTGTACATTGTCAACAACAAACATAAGCTCTGTAGAGCTTTTATTATGATGCCTAAGGGAACAAATTATGTTTTTGTGGTGAAGGAAAACTCACAGTGGAAAACCCTATCAGATATCACTCTCTTTTTCTGCCACTGCTGGGGATCGAACCAAAAATTTTTGGAAGAGTGAGTGGTCTGAAATTAACGCTTGATTGCACACCTTAGCGATCGCGGCTACCGAGGCACTTATTTGCACTCTTTGCTTGTCAAAGGCAACAGACATTTTCGAAAGCTTGACATTTTTAGCTCACCTGGCCCGAAGGGCCAAGTGAGCTTATGGCATGGTGCTGCGTCTGTCGTCCGTCCGGCGTCAGCTTTTTACTTTAAACAACTTCTTCTCAGTAACCAAAAGACCTAGGGTGATGATATTTGGCCAAACGCATGCTTGGATGAAGGGCTACCTATTTTGTTCAAATAAATGACCTTCATCAATTTTCAAGGTCGCGGGGGTCAAATATGTTAAAATCTTTAAACAACTTCTTCTAAATAACCAGGAGGCCTAGGATGATGAATTTTGGCCAGTAACATGCTGAATTGAAGGGCTACCAAGTTTGTTCAAATAAATGAGATTGCCTTTATTCAAGGTCACAGGGGTCAAATATGTTTAAAACCTTTAAACAACTTCTTTTGAATAATCTAGAGTCCTAGGGTAATGATATTTGGCAAGTAACATGCTGGGATGAAGGGCTACCAAGTTTGATCAAATGAATGACCTTGATTTATATTCAACGTCACAGGGGTCAAATATGTTTTAAACCTTTAAACAACTTCTTCTGAATAACCAAGAGGCCTAGGAAAAAGCCAGTTACATGCTGGGATGAAGGACTACGAAGTTTGTTCAAATGAATGACCTTGATATATATATATTCAAGGTCACTGGTGTCAAATATGTTTAAAAAATTATTGAATGACTTCTTCTTAATAGGCAAAAAGCCAAGGGTGATGATATTTGGTCATTAACATGCTGGGATGAAGGACTACCAAGTTTGTTCAAATAAATGACCTTCATCAATTTTCAAGGTGGCGGGGGTCAAATATGTTAAAATCTTTAAACAACTTCTTCTAAATACCCAGGAGGCCTAGGATGATGAATTTTGGCCAGTAACATGCTGAATTGAAGGGCTACCAAGTTTGTTCAAATAAATGACCTTCATCAATTTTCAAGGTCGCGGGGGTCAAATATGTTAAAATCTTTATACAACTTCTTCTGAATAACCAAGAGGCCTAGGAAAAAGCCAGTTACATGCTGGGATGAAGGGCTACCAAGTTTAATCAAATGAATGACCTTGATTTATATTCAACGTCACAGGGGTCAAATATGTTTTAAACCTTTAAACAACTTCTTCTGAATAACCAAGAGGCCTAGGAAAAAGCCAGTTACATGCTGGGATGAAGGGCTACCAAGTTTGTTAAAATAAATGAGATTGCCTTTTATTCAAGGTCACAGGAGTCAAATATGTTTAAAACCTTTAAATAACTAATGATATTGAAATATTAATGATATTTGGCCAGTAACATGCTAGGATGAAGGACTACCAAGTTTGTTTAAATAAATGACCTTCATCCATTTTCAAGGTCACAGGGGTCAATTGTCTTAAATCTTTATACAACTTCTTCTGAATAACCAAGAGGCCTAGGAAAAAGCCAGTTACATGCTGGGATTAAGGACTACCAAGTTTGTTCAAATGAATGACCTTGATATATATATATTCAAGGTCACTGGTGTCAAATATGTTTAAAAAATTATTGAATGACTTCTTCTTAATAGGCAAAAGGCCAAGGGTGATGATATTTGGTCATTAACATGCTGGGATGAAGGACTACCAAGTGAATGACCTTCGCCCAAATTCAAGGTCACAGTGGTCAATATATGTTTAAATCTTTAAACAATTTTTTCTGTATAACCAAAAGGTCCAGGGTAATGATATTTTGCCAGAAGCATGCTGGGTTGGAAGACTATTAACTCTGTTCAACCTAATGTCCTTGTTCAACATTCAAGGTCACAGGTGTCATATGTTTAAATCTATTAATAGGTTCTTATGAATCAAACACTGATATTCTGCCTGTAGCTGTATTTTAGTCCACTTTTAAGATAACAAGTGTGAGATTAATACCAGGTGAGCGATGCTAGCATTAATTATCCATGCCAAACTGATGAATCTCATTCCGAATGGATCTAGAGTTATCATTTCTATAACGAAGTGGAAGGCAAGTATTCAAATGTACTCGTTAGTGCATGTATGTTTACAATGTGATAATGTTGATGTTTGTAGATGTGCGACGTCTTAACTATGTGGCCCTGGTACTGACGATGGTGACTTGTACAGGGGAGTCCTTTCCTGTCAGTTTAGAAGGTAAGTTAATGATAGTATCCTCAGTTATGAGTGTAAGCTTAATTATTATAAAATCCTCAGTTTAGATAGCCTATTTATGATTAAGTAGCATATTACAACCTGTATGGTTGATGGTTTTCAAACAATAAGTTGAACAACTTATTTTAATTTGATCAGATTCTAATGAAACTTTATCAATATTTTTATCAAAAAAGACAAAGGCTTTATCAATATTTGTATCATAAAAGACAAAGTCTCAGTTAAAGTTTGTGCAAAATCTGCTTCTGCTAGTAAGGTACAATGTATTTTTCTATATTCAGCACATATCAGAAACAATTCAACTGTTTTCAATATTCTCATACTTTTTGATACAAAAGTTCTTAAGAAGGGTTCAAATTATGTCACTTTTACATGGGTTGGGTATATATATTGTTTCACCCCTTCTGTTTTGGCATACCTTTGGCTTTTTGATCAAATAATAAAACTGTAAAAACTATTGTTAGGAGTGTCGGTTCTTTTCTTATTTATCATATCAATATTTATTACTATTAATGATGTTAATACGTAATCAGTTTATAAGTAGCTTTTCTTATTCCTAGGTTGTAAAGCACTTTCAATTATACTTACTACTCTCACAAGGAAAATCTTTTTCCAGATCATGTAAATACTGAGTTCATAGACTTTGTGTTTAACCTACTGGAGGAGCCACCAACGACAGAACACGAAGACCAAGCCACAGACTCTCTGGTGAACCTGATCCTGGCCCTGAACCTACACTACCACAATCTCGCGGTTAATACCATCATGTCTGTCATACAGAATAAGGCCTCGCTACAGACCTTCACAGAAAAAATACTCATACTCTTCAATCGTAGAGGTAAGCTCACAAGTGGAACCGGGAAGAAGGCTTCGCTCAATCATCAACTTTCTTTTTACTGAATGTCTAAGCTTTTTTTAAGAGGATTTTAATCCGAGCCTAGGAATATAGTTAAGCTTTACTGTTTACCGAGAATTTTTTCTGCAGTTGAACTCTTTTCTTCATCAATAAGATTTAATCTTGCAGCAAATATCAATAGACAACACGAAATTTATGTCATAACATGTGAAGGGCAAAATTAATGCTGGGTGGAAGTTTGCCTTCCGAAAAAAAGGTTTAGGGTAAACAATATTCCAATCTCGACCAAGGGAAGCCACATTCAGATGTCAGAAGTTTTGAATAAATAGCTGAGTATTTAGGTTTAAAAAAGATCCTAATAAAATGTGAGAGATTGGATTGTATTTCAGGTGTGACTAATCAAAATCATGACCATGAATAAGTGGTGTGAATGTTATCACGATAATCTGACCATAATTAATAAGAGTTGTTCCCCTTGGTTTCATTAGTGCAATACTATACATGCATTCCAAGATGTTTTATTGCACTCATTGATCTATCAGGTTATATTGAATCATTTCTCCTTTAACATCAATTACTCACAAATATTTCATATATTTCAATGATACAAACTGCCTATTCAATGTGTTACAGGTATTTTGTACCGCTTTGCAGTAACCTTATTTTAACCTTATTGTTGTCCTGATTCAGATGACCCAGTGAAGATGTTTGACCACCAGGTGACCAGTGTCCACTCTGTAATCAAGTTCTTAACCGATCTGTTCAGTAGTACAGCTACAGCTAACCTCCTGTATACAAACGATGCCAAAGTACTGGTCGACATCCTCATACGACAGCTGACAGACTTACAGCCGGGCGACCAGGTACTCACATCATACCTATCGGTCTTACTTCATATAGTAATGATCCAGGACAGTAGGGCAACAGTCTGATGATATTGGTGATCCAATCATATTATTTGAATATTTTTGAATCTTTTTTTTTTTACCCGACTTTTCCTTACTTTCCATACATAGGGTGGTAACTCTGTAATAAGCCCACCCACCCCACTTTTCCTTACTTTCCATACATAGGAAGGGTGCCCGGTAATAAGCCAATCCCCTTTCTAAGTCTGTAGGCGTCTGTATAAATAAAAAATAAATATTGTTGTACGTTTTGCAATACATAAGCTAACCAGTAGAGTGCAGAATAAATTTATGATCTGGCAAAATGTCACTGTTTTTAGACTAAGATGCTGATATTTTGTTTGAACATGACTTGTCAAGGAAAACTTGAACTTAATGGAGATTTGTGTAAAATTTCACATTTATGTACTAACTTGTTCAAACTCTTAAATTTAGTCCAGTATATTGTTTTGAAAGTTATTCATTGGTTACCATTGCTACCAAGACAGCCACTATCTCAACATTTCAATACATCGATGTATTCACTATTGTTACTCTCCTAATGATGTCAACAACCAGATAAAGCTAAAAAAACATTTTTTAGTTTTAGTCCTCTGGATACCCAGAAAAACATTACGATTTGCTAATAAAGTATAATTGCCAGTCAGGCAACAACAGTTGCAGACGTTAAATGAGATTGGATTCATTGGAAAGATCTGTTAATTTATATGATAAACAATGTACTCTGTTTACCGTAAACCTCTGGGTCCTCATATATTTGATCAGTTTGCAGAATTCTAGATTGTCATTTTCATTATTGAAACCAATTATTTTGGCTATTTGAGACAAAAATTTGGATTACACAGGGTGTACCATAGATATAAGGGCATTATTTAATAAAGTTAACATCTTATTAAGTCCTATTGAACCGTGTAGAGAAAACCAACCAGTTTTTGTTTGATGGCTCACCTTTAATTTGTTGATAATTCAGTCATTATCATGCAATCAGCAATGTCTTAAATATGAGATATATTCAAGTGCCAAACTGAAGCTTTATGTTAGCCCAAAGGTGTGGGATATATTTGGTGGTTGATTGAAGTTATGTTGTTTTTCTGTCCCCAGGTGCGGTCATCCATGTTGACTTTAGTGGAGTTGGTGGTGACAAATTCTGAGTATAGAGACCATAAGCACCGCCAGGGGGAGCTGCTGAAGTGTCTAGTCCACATAGAGGCAGAGGAGGCGGACACAGACATGGACAAGGGCGTGGCTAAACAAGTCATTCAGTTGTTAGAGGACATGTGATTTGCTGAACTTGTTGTTTGTGAGGAGGTGGAACCTCGTCTGGGTGCAACAACAAACATATAAGGCCTCTTTTTCATGGCATAACAGGTCCTGTGATTGTAAGAATGTAAAGGTCCTGTGATTGGTTGAACATACAGGATCTGTGATTGGTGGAATGTTTTGATCCTATGAGTAGTGGATTATACTTTAAATCACTTATTTTTTGAGTAATTAATTTTTCACGTTCATTTGTGAGAACTCATTTGTAAGCTTAAATATTCCACAATTATTAATTCCATGGAAATTTATCGTCAGTATTGAAATTGCTTCCTTTTTATTTGCAAATTCAAGTACTTGTAAATAAAAGCTAAGGGCATAGTTCAGGAAACAAAAGTACACACAAAAAAAGGTAATTTATAGAAATAGCCATCAGGATGTATGAAATTTAACCATCTATCATTGTCCACACTAGTTGGGAGTATAAGTTACTTTGATTGCACCCCATATTGCCTTTTGGATTGAGACTTGGGACTTTGTCAATGCCATAGTATCAGAAAGTTACTAGTGTAGGGAAAGCTGATTTCTTTTCACCCTAAATTACTGTTATAATGAAGAAAATATTGATAGCATTTTAACTATAAACCATCCTGATGATACATTTCTCACCATAAAGCACTATAGTAAGTTTTATTTTACAAGATCAGTCTTTTATACCTAAATACTTCTGTCCCGATACTTGTATCCTTTTTCAAAAGTATCACATCTACAAAATTACGAATGTTAAAAATATCAGCAGAAAAGAATTAGCTTTGAAAGGTTCAAAAAGGTACATGTAGTTATGGCATCTGGTTTTGGCCATATCCATAATGTATGCCGGGAATTTTTTTCGCTGCAGTTTATTTTTTGCCTTTTTCTTTTAGGCCCACATTATGAGGGTGAATTTATCATTACAGCAAACATTTGTGAACAATATGATATACATAGTAATTAAATGTGAAGGGGAATTTAATATTGGGTAAAAATGGATTTTACTGTTGAAGGGTGAAAATTTGATTGGGATGAAAATTTACCTAAGTGCTTTATAATGACATATTAATGACATATGATAAAATGGTAATGTGTTTATAGAAATATGGAAATAATGGTCGTATCTGACACTTAGAACTATCTGATTCTTTGGGGTTGATGTACATTTCTATCTCAACTAGCTGGAGGCTAAACAAGGTAATGCCATGGCTCAGCATTTATCGTCTCTTTGGATGACGTTATCATTTTGCTGTAAATGTTTCATTAGAAAGGATTTCTAAGCATTGGTGAACATTATTTGATGTGACACATCCCAAGTGGTAAACTATTTCCATTGGGTATACCTTTTCTTTTTTAATTTCATACTGAAAAAGGTGAGCAATAATGTCTTCCTTAACCATGGTGTTCTTATATATGTTACTGCGAGTCATCTGCTACTATCATTTCACCTACTAGTATCAGCCTTTTCCAATAATCTCCTCCACAACAGGCTGGCAACAGGTGTGTAAACAGTTAATGTTTAATTAATATTAAGTCCAGCTGCTGCTTAGCCATTTAATTTAGTGAGTAGTGGAAAATGTCATTAAAAATTCATTTGAATTTTAAATTTAGAAATTAGTGAAGATCAGACGATTTTAATGCCATTTCATCACAAACATTATTTCTTGCTTGGTATGCTCGAAAGTCATTGTTGTTAGTCAAGAAAATTAATTAACCAAGCAATATCTGTCATGGATTGTCGACACAACCCAGGTCTTCATCGTGTAATTGTTCATTATGTATGATGTTATTACTCAAGAGGTATGAAGGATGTATTTATAGGTGATGCGATTGAATAGGGGCATGACAAGTGTATTTTAAGGTGTTGATTATTAGTCAGGGTTATGACTGATGTAGTTACAGGTTATTTGATTGGTTGAAGGTATGACAAGTCTTGTTACAGAATATGTGATTGGTTGGAGGTATGATAGGACTTGCTACAGGAGATATGATTGGTTGCAGGTAGAAGAAGTCATGTAACAGGAGATGTGATTGGTTAAGGTATGACAAGTCTTGTTACAGGAGTTGTTTGATTGGACGTATGATAGGTCTAGTTACAGGAGATGTGATTGGTTGGACGTATGATATGTCTAGTTACAGGAGATGTGATTGGTTGAAAGTATTATGGTCTAGTTACAGGAGGTATGATTAATCAAGGGTATGACAGATAGTTTCAAGAGATATTATTGGTTTGCAGGTATATCACATGTGACACACTTGTAATAGTATCATATTCCTAATAAATATAATATTTCAACTTTCTAAAAATCTAACACTTTTCCTTGCTATCAACATGTAAGATATTAGCAAGATATTTGGAATTTATAATTAAGAATCAAATGGTATAGAAAGTTTTTAAAGGGAGTTTTTACAAGTTCAGACTAGTATTTATATATCTTATGTCGCTTTGTTTGTTAGTACCTGATTCATAAAGTAATATACAACTGTTTTATCTTTTACAAAATTGTATCATGTATAAATGAATACCTTCAATCCAAAGGTACAATTATATGAATTTTTACCGCTTTTTTTCTGTCAAATTGACTTTAAAGAAAAGCATTTGTTTCAGAAATAAAAGTTTGTACATGTACTAGATATTGATTATCTATGATATAGGAAAGGATTGTAATCAATGTTTTTTTTTATTTCACTCCAGTATGATGTCAATCAGACTGCATATACCGACCCGTCAGACTGTGTATTTATGTCATATTTCAGTCAGATTGTGTATTTATGTCATATTTTACACCCAGGATGATATAATGGACTTTTATGATAACCCACATGATGCATTTCCTTAGATATGTTTCAGAGAACAACAATAACACCTATATCAAACTCTACAAAGAAAGATAACTCTTCTATTACAAGAAAATAAATCTTGGATAGGAATTTTTTAGTTTACATATATTTCAGAAATTCAATTGGTATGAATTTATTCTTTATTTTAGTGTTAAGAGCAATTATCAAATAAACACAAAATATTTATACAGAGAATTGTTTATGTATTCATGGTATCATTCAGAACAAAATAAAAATTAATTTCAAGCACACATGCTCATTTTTGTTTTCTTTCAATGCATATCCAATTATAATTAATTGTCTTAAGTATCAGATCTGACACAAATGTGTTTTGACAATAAGTATTATACTTACACCATTTGACTAAAATATTTTGGCATTCAATAAGAAACCATGTACAAAATTGGATCTTGAAATACTTAAGCAGTGAGGTAGCTAATGAAACTAGTGACATTACAAGGTTTTACCTATCCATCTAAGGATGATGCTATCTTTATGACCCTGAAGAAAGTTTTTACCAGAGTGTTATTACATCCATCCGTAGACACCATGGTATTAAAAACTAAATTAATCTACCGTAAATTTGCGCGTATAGTGCACACTTTTTTAGGTAAATACTGTCATGTCAAAAAGGGAGTGCGCACTATACGCAGGAACAAGTCATTCTTGGGTTATCGTTCTCGAGTTTCTGGTCCGCCATATTGGATTACCTCCCTTCAAATAGTTTTATTTGGAGTCGTCGGTCATATATGATAAGATTGAAGATTAAAAAATAACAAATAATGAAATTCTTTGGCGGCACAATTTTTACCTTCTCTTAAATGATTAAAATCGGTTATTTTATAAGATTTTCTCTTATCCACGATCATTAAGTACCACATGTATTATGGAGACTGGCATTTAAATTCCCAGCCAAAAGAGAAGCTATACAATATGTCATGAAATTGTACATAAATGTGGCTTTATGTACAGTGATATAGCCAGTCATATAGTTCTACAATGTGATTATACAGGAGAGTTAAGAGATAATTTATGGTGTGATATTATAAATATAAAAGACATAATGTTTAGTGTGTACTTACATTCCATGTCTGATTATGATATGTTTCATATCCTCATTGGAGAAAATGTAGAGCATGAGTTGAAGTTAGAGGACTTTCGCATAAAATCTGTAACTTGTATATTCAGAATGTGCAAACTTTACTACAAATGATGTCTTAACCTAATCTTTATAATGTGTCAATTGTAACATTTTTCCTTTTTCTGTATTTCGTATGATGGTCATCTCTCTTAAGTAACTTAAGTAAGTTAAGGAGCGTAGTGACTCAAAGGGGAGATAACTCCAGCGTAACCCTTACTTTACAATACAATTTATCTTTTGAATTTTGTCATATGACATGTACGTTACTTTGTCAATCTTCAATGAATGCATATATGTATTGTTCTGTTTGTGAATCTTCGATTCGGAGGAAATAAAGAGAATAATAATGACTGCTGATTTGGCACAGGTAACATTTTTACAGGTAAGTTTTCCGGAGGGCATAACCAATGTCTGACCCTGGACAATAGGCTAGGTAGGATCGCCATGCTTCAACGAAAATTATTGACACTTCTCAACACCACAGTTGATACAAATTACAATGCAGTAATTAGCTAACACTCTATCAGTGATTACCGATTAACAATAACTCTACTGCAATTTAATTGAAATTATTTGCAGTCGCGATCGAGGGACCGTGTTGTTTTCACTCGTCAACACCTGGCGTGAAGCCCTACTACACTGTTAGAACTACAGACTGATTTGACCATAAAGGGATTAAAAAAAATAAGTGTGGACATTCAACACATCCCTTTCAAATCTACTTGAAGGGAAAAAATAAAAGCAGAATACACTATTTTTATGATGCTTCATAATATTGAAATAACCGGCGAGGTTATCGATGACGTCAACATGAAAGTGGGCCGGGAAAAAACATGCACACAAGGCTTAGCGATTTGGCAAAAAAACCCACCCAGAACTAACATGGAACGGAGCCTATAATTAAAACACTCCATATTCGTAACTATGAGAAAAACACTGAGATGTCGAAACATAAGTTGATAGATGGTTCTCTGACCCCAAAAACGTACCTACACACTATACCCGCAAATTTACGGTCATTACATTTTGACATGTTCAATATTGCATCCACAACCAAAACTAAGATTTTCCTTCATTAGTCCAATTAGCCTCCAACCGTGAAATATTTTGAAAGATGATGGTTGTTGGGACTCGATGCAACTTCTTATTATGGGCCCCAAGTCTGAAGCTATTTCATCGATCAAATCTTTGTGAACCTTTTGTTTTGGAATATATATTTAGAATTTTCTTTCATTGGTAGTATACAATTATCAAGTGTCTGTCTTATATTGGTAACGGATTTTTTTTTATAGCTTTGGAATGGAGTGTTTGATAAGGGCATGCATGAGAAAATCTTGTCCGATGTGTTTTAGAGTTTGAAGATTTTTTATTAGACTGAAACTGTGTTGTGTGTAATTTCAATCATTGGGAGATGTGCATTGCTATGCCTGTCAGAAAGACTGCACCAGCCAAGGTCTAGTAGCATGTTACCAACACTCCTTAGGGACGGAATCTGCGGAGTTGCGACGTCAGTGGGGGTCAGTCCAGCTGTAATAACTTTTTCTGTTTAGATTGGTCATTAATAATAACCTAATGATAACACTATATATTTCTCATCAGATACACAATAGGTCTTTTGATTTATAACACCAACATAATTTCTTTACGCCAAGTGTTTTCAGTATTGTATCGACAGGTTAAATAAGCATCCAATTTTTGGGTTTCAAGTTGCATGAAAAAGGAATGAATATTGAAAGTGACATAATGAACTTGTCAGGGGAAATAACTCTTTGACAGAGGAAATAACTCTTAAGTCAGAAAAAAATCATTTTGGTTGCGTCATTTGCTATATAGAAGGGACCTTTAATAAACACCTTTAAGATCATTTTGTCGTATGAGTCAAATGTAGTGCACAGTTTATTGATATTCATGTCCGAGTAAATTCACGGTTCAAAACCTATTTATATTGGTTAATGAAGTTTCATGTTTGTTGCCATTTCATTTGCTTGATACTTTTAAATTTGACCACGTTTATCATCCATTCAAACAAAGTTTTATGTTTCAATAGCAATTATGGATTTTTCAATAACATAAATTCCAGATATTCAAATGTTTTCTAGTTTATGACCCCAACATTAAAATTCTGCCGCTTATCATCTTTTTAATGATATTTCTTGTTTTAAGCATTTGTCTTGGAAGATATTACCTCTTTTCTGAAATAAAAATATAACAAGATATAGAAAAAGGTTTTTAATTCATGGCCAAAATGACACCACAATTTTTTAACAGACCAATACAACAAGGACCCTTGGCATAAGATAGATATCCAAATATGTAATCACTTAATAGTCAATGATTCTATAAAAAACATATCATATGCAGTCATCAACAGCTTTTATCATGTTACAAAAAAATAAAGTATGAATGCCAAAACAAGGTATAGACTTTAGCAACATCACCATCAGGTGGTGTTTGGTTAGGAAAAATACCAATTCTCTCCCACTCTACATATATCTCATTCTCGACCTAACCATAGGGGAATGATGGCACACAGACTTGAGCAGTGAGAATATGACAACAGGGAAGCAAGACAACACAAAAAGAGTGAGAACATAAAAGGTGAAAACATTGTGGGATAGAGAACAGTGGTGTAGGAATGAACGCAATGTGGTAATGGAGGGAGTACAGGTTAGTGAGGGAGAAAGTACAGGGTGTTGGGGGAGTGAGTACAAGTTGGTGTGGGGAGTGATCACAGAGTGTGAGGGAGTAAGTACAGGTTAGTGTGGGGAGTGATCACAGAGTGTGAGGGAGTAAGTACAGGGCGTTGGGGGAGTGAGTACATGGTGATTGGAAAGAGAGTACAGGGTTGTGAGGGAGTGAGTACAGGATGGTGAGGGAGAGAGTACAGGGTTATGAGGGAGTGAGTAAAGGATGGTGGGGGAGTTAGTACAGGGTGGTGGGGGAGTGATCACAGAGTGTGAGGGAGTAAGTACAGGGCATTGGGGGAGCGAGTACATGGTGGTTGGGAAGAGAGTACAGGGTGGTTGGGAAAAGAGTACAGGGTTGTGAGGGAGTGAGTACAGGATGGTGAGGAAGTGAGTACATGGTGGTGAGGGAGCGAGTACAGGATGGTAAGGGAGTGATCACAGAGTGTGAGGGAGTAAGTACAGGGTGTTTGGGGAGTGAGTAAAGGGTATTTGGGGGAGTGAGTACAGGGTGGTTGGGGGAGTGAGTACAGGGTGGTTGGGGGAGTGAGTACAGGGTGGTTGGGAAGAGAGTACAGGATTGTGAGGGAGTGAGTACAGGATGGTAAGGGGGTGATCACAGAGTGTGAGGGAGTAAGTACAGGGCATTGGGGGAGTGAGTAAAGGGTGTTTGGGGGAGTGAGTACCCTTTCAAATTCAACCCTTTTTGGCCCCACCCTTCAGCCCCTGGGGGTCAGTCAGGGTTCATATGTGCATACTATCAAACTGCTACCTAATACTGATAATGCTAACCTAAATTGAATTACTTCCAATGGAAATTAAACAAATGTTGGTTTATTTGATTCTACCATATCTGGTTCTTGAGAAGAAGATTTTTGACATTTTAGTCAATTTGACCCTTTTTGGCCCCACCCCTCAGGCCCCTGGGGGCTGGGGACCAAACCGGCCACTATTTTTGTTGACCTTTGGCCATGGAAGGCTTCTGCAAAATTTCATTGAAATTGGTTCAGGGGTTTTGGAGAAGAAGTCGATAATGTAAATTGTTTACGGACGCCGCCGGACAAAAGGCGATCGCAATAGGTCACTTGAGACTTTGTCTCAGGTGACCTATAAATCTAACACAATAATGAACCAATGATTATTGTTATGACTTGTCCTGGGAATTGCTACTGAAAACTCATTCTAAACTTAAGGTAAACACGAATCACATATACCACCTGGTACATTAGTAAAACATTATAAACACTGAAGCCTACAAGTATTTTTTCCATTATTTCAACATATCAAATTTAGTCAGGTTTTACTTCACATTATATATCATCACTCTTGATGTTGGCCTTGTCCAACACCACCAAATATTGCTTTACTCTTCCTCACACACATGGGTATCTAGCCACCTTTGAAATACTCAAATTACTTCCCCAATCATCTGTCAAATTATCGCTACAAAGAGCGTACTAACAAGGGGATGGAACTCCAATACACAAAAATGCTAATACTCTGATTTAAGGTAGTCCTTCTTGGCACAAAATGATGTATTGATCTCCCAGCCAAATACTGTCATGATGTCATCGTACTTTCCTACATGCCCAAAGATCTAATCTTGGCCTTTCCCACATGACTGAACATCGGACTATTTCCCTTTCCCACAGACTAAAACAACTGACCTCTCTTTCCCACAAACCCAAAAACTTGGTCGTCCTTTTCAACATACTCAATTGTAACTCAATTTAAGTCTGTCCTTTTTCACATTCAAATATATGTAGATTACTAAAATATGATAATAACTGGTATCAAAACAACAAGTAACCAGTTTGTTCTCTCACTACCCTCTCCTCACACCCAAATATCGATACGCTCTAAATAGCCTCCAATGCATCTAAATATCTCCACACTCGATTATATATATAATTATCTGGCTGCGCTTTGACTATTTCCGTCACACCAAAAAGTGTGATTGTCTTTCTACAAACCAAAATGTCTGATCGACCTTCCACAAACAGCTGTACCCAAACATCTAGATGATCCCCTAAGCACACTAGTACATGTACTTATATACTACCATCAGTATCATGATTACAAGTAACAGGTACCCTGTCTGGTGTCAGTCCTCTATCATCTGTCCTCTGAACAGGGGACAAAGATTGCCATCAGTGTCATCACACAAAACTCTACAAAGAAACATGAGAAAATTTAACAATTTGCATTGTCAATGATCGGTTATAGGGAGTTATTCATGTGATATTCTGAGCTAAATTAATGTTTAGATTAATGTCAAAAAAGGAAAATTGTGTGTTTCAGGTACCTCGACGAATCCTAGTTTTTACCTCTGACCCCAACAGCTTATCTCACTTGAACACTCTCCATATGCATCCAGTGTTCGGACAACTTGTCCACCAGATGCAAGCAAATTGATTGACAAACAACAACTGTATTTGATATACATGTATACATATATATGGGTCAAAGAAGTAATATAGACGGTAAAATCCCATATAACACTGGATCCTAATGGAGGTATGTCCGTAGGATACGAATTACTTAAAATATTATATGAGGCAAAGAAGTAATTCCAACATATATATATATATGTACCCCCTCTACTTCATAGACAGATATCTTAAATATTAAAGTATATATTATCTTAAAATATAGCTCAAAAACAAAATAAAATAAAATAAAAATGAAAATAAATTCCGACAGACACCTTTTTCTTTCTTCACTCTTGTTACCCGACACCTACATTTTTTTTCTTTTTACCTAATCAAAACACAATTTTAACTAGGTTGACTATGGACACTTGTATAGAAAATGGGTCAAAGTCACAACTCCATTTTCAATAATGCGTGAACATCTGTTGGGTCATTCTGAGTCATTGGATTGGTGGTTGATCGCTGGTGACCAGGTAGCTGCGATAACATAGCTTCCTGACGACGAGAGATTTTTTTATATATTGCGTCGTCAGAAAAGGAGGCCGGGTATTAATATTAGTACTAGCGACCAGGTAACTCAATTGGTTAGAGCGTGATATCCGTCTATAGTTCAGAGCTCCCTGGTTTTGGATTTCTGGTCTGGCCTTCATGTTTTCGCTATCCTGATACTGTGACATACTTCTCAATAGTTGGACTACACTATCAAATATTGTCATCAGATTCAGAAATATGCACAAAAATGTTGTCTAAGGTCACTGTCACCTACTTTTCCAAACCTCAGCTTAGTCAGCTACATTATTAAGATCTGTAACCGGATCAGCAATTAACATAGAACTGTTGTTTTTGACCAGAATAGGTCAATTTGACCTACTTTTTAAAATTGACCTACATTGTTAAAAATTGTCATTGGGGTCAAATATCAATTTACTAAATTGTGTCACTATCACCTGCTTTCAAGATCAACCCTACATTACTAAAAATTCTTGTCAGGTTCTGAAGTTGGTCTAGTAAAGTTGTTTTTCTGAATTAAAGATCACTGCGACCCTTTTTTCCAAAATTTGACCCTATGTTATCTAAATAATCTAATTATATCAAACCTTAATATATCTTAGTGAATAATGCATATATTTCCACATGGTTTACTTTTTCATGGGCTTCATTTCCATTGAGTAAATAAAAATGCTTTTTATTTAGCTCCCTTGTCTGAAAACTGACTCAAGTTTTACTTTCAATTGGGATCAATTTAAACCTTACACCCGTGACCAGGTCGCTCAATTGGCTTAAATGTCTGTCTAGTATAGACTTTATAGGTCCTGGGTTCGAATTCCAGTTTGGCCTTTGAATTTTTACCTTTCCTTACCTTTTAGTAAGAATACCTGAAGATCTGTACTTTTCCTTTCTCGTCTCCAATCCAAACCTCATTTCCCTGTATAGTCATGGCCCATGGTGTAGTGTTCATGGTGAGCAGGACTTTCAATGGCTCGCAAGATGGACTTAGTAACTGCACAGTTTTGCTATAACATTCAGCAACCAAAATATTGTCTCTGGTATCAAATACCACACCATAGAGACTATACCCTGCCAGGGAGTCCCCAGTCAACACCCTGGGTCCTGTATAGATTAACACAGGCGATAGGTCTTCGTCGAGAACAACTAGTTCTCTGCGTCTGTCACTTACACGGTTAATGACCGCTACTCGGGTGCCCGTGTTGTTCACACAGACATCCTCAGGTACAACAAAGAGGCTTCCTCCATATCCATCAGCCTGACAACGAGCCGCCTCTTCCCCCCACCGGTCGTACCGGACCAACACACGGGTACTGTCATCTGTTACTTCATAGTCATCTTCGTCGCATAGTGTTACATATATGTCCCCAGATGGATCTGTACATATACGGTTTGGTGTGAGAGGACAAGTGCTGAGCTTCTCTGTAATCTCACCATTTGGAAGAGCGATCTCCTTGATACATTTCTGTAGTGTACAACAGAACAGAAGCTTATTATCTGCACTTACAGTAAATCCATCCGACCTAGTTCCCAGGTTTATAGCTTGTTTAATTTCTCCAGACCTGTTGGAAAGTTTAACACTGTTTTTATCCTGGCATTTTAGCCAGCAAACTTTTGATTTAGGACAAAACATATTATCTACACCAACATGTTTTGAAAGTTTAAATGATGTAACTGGCGTTACTTTGATTTTTGATTTCCTTTCGATCAAACCAAAAAAGTCAGATGACTTGTCCCTTTTATTCTCATTGTTATTGGCATGATCAGATGCCCCTTTAATACTCCCAAACATTCGTTCAAGTTCTCCGTCCCTGACAGCCCCGGGGAGGAACACCAGGGCATGTATGTCCAGCCTGGGGATGCGTCTGCTGCTTTGTGGGACCTCCACATTTCTGCCTGTTACGATCATGTCTACATAATCGTTCATGTTTTTAAGCTGAACCACCTTCCTCTGGAATGTGGCAATCTGGGAAAACTGTTGCTTCAGAGCTTGTTCTGTTTTGTCGATGGCTTCCATGTTCTTACCAAGCTCCATTTGATGTTTATAATGCACTTCGTTTTTCACAGTGTCGACTTCACTTTTCATAATATTTTGACGTTTCACCATTTGATTTTCCACGAGATGTGCTCCCTGTTGCAGATTCTCTCTGATTTTGGCGAGATTGTCCAGATCAGACTTGATTTCCTCAAACACATGTAAATTGTTTGACTGTGCCTGCTCCAACTCTTGTCGGATTGACTGTGCGGCAGATCTCAATGAAGCGAGTCTGTGTTCAGCATGATCTTCCTCCACACAAATAGCACACACAAATGGATACTTGTCACAGTGAGTACATACCATTATGACAGTCTCATCTTTGTGGTAAACGCACTCCATTTTCATTAGACTTCTAAACAGCACGTGCCTGGTTCGTTTTCCGGTGTCACACAAATTACCGTGCCAAGGAAATACAGTGACGCGAATGCGCGCCGCCGTGTGCGCATGGGCGTAGTTGAAGTTTACTCGCGGGCACCGTTTGTTTGCGATTTTAAGTCTTGGAGGGAAACCGAGAGGTCATAATAACGTATTTTAACTTTGGTCGAAGCCATATATGTAGGTCTGCCAGAAACTTAAATAGGTCACAACACTAACGCCACAGTACCCAAATCGGGACACTTCAGGAAAAAGTCACAAGAAATGTGCATGCTGTGCAAAGAAGGATTTTAAAATTGAAAATATTGATTTAAAGATGCTTATATACCAATAAACAGTTATATGAACTTTATTTACTGCCACTTACGGTTACAATCACAGTTTTAGTTTGTAAATAATGACGAAAATGTAACGTTCTAAATTGATGCGCCATATATATGCGACGTTATTGATTTTCATTTTTTTAATGTTACTTTTCACAATCCTACTATTTCACAGTGGTAGTTTGGAAAAGAAATTCATTCAGAACGACTCTTGGCTCTTAAATATTCCAAAGATATGCCATGTTCTGCTAAATACTTTTTTCATCTCCAAATATAAGCCAAAACTGGTAGGGGTGTCCCGATTTGGGTACAGCTTCACCTGTTTCGCGATTACGCAACCATGACTATATTTCCGGTTCTATTTATAGAACCACGTGCCGGAAATATTAACTTGTTATCAAAATGAAAAGATAATGATATCTATATAGGAAAAGGGAACACAAATCACTGGGATCGGTACTATGGTATGAAATACATCATTATTTCACTTAAAAGTGTCCCGATTTGGGTACTGTTAACATTATCCTTAATAGCTATAGTAGGCCTACCGGTGGTGGTGGGTTAATCAAGTCACCCGAGTCCGGGATTTTACCATTTTCTAAAAGTAAAATTGCCAAAATCCGTGACCGACTGGATTAACCCACTAGCTATAGGATTTTTAGTAGGCCTATAGTCTATTCTTGCAACCTGAATTCTGTGATAACACCAACTACGAAAAGTCCATGCTATGAAATAGTCAGTTTGTTTTATTTATCACAGGGACCTGAGAATTTGTTACAGTTATATTTGGACCTAAACTAAGGTGTTCAGAGTAATTTTACATGTTTAAGGTATTTTGATCGACTTTCGGTAAAAATGACACGCCAATGATTATACGATCATTAGGTGTGTCATTTTTACCGAAAGTCGATCTACATATCCTTAAAACATGTCAAATTACTCTGAACACCTTAGTTTAGGTCAAAATGTGCTCTGTAACAAATTCTCAGGTCCCTGTGTTATTTACGACATAGGCCTAAATATTAATTATTCAGTCGATTTGACAAAACAAAAGAAATGCAAACTAACTAGGTAACTAAAGGGGGGGGGGGGGGGGGGGCAACTTACTCCGGGGCCGGGGTATCGAAAGTAATTTTGAAAACGGCATAGTGCGACAACGGCTTCTTTTTGGTACACATCGCAGCTAGTTTCACTTTCATTTTGATGGCGATTTACACCTAAATATTAATATAAATTTCGATTTTGTTTCCACTACTTAGACTATTTGATACTAGCTATCGGCAAGCAATGAACTTCACCACGTGATATGATACTCAGACGTTTAACTTATCAGCACGTAACCTAAACAATCAACTAAGCCTTACGTGACACACTGTAGATAAGTCGCTCTGTCACCGTCGTGTTTTCACTCTGTCACCGTCGTGTTCTCACGCTGTCACCGTCGCGTTCTCACTCTGTCACCGTCGTGTTCTCACCCTGTCACCGTCGCGTCGTGTTCTCACTCTGCCACCGTCTTATTCTCACTCTTTCACCGTCTTGTCATGTTCTCACTCTGTCATCGTCGCGTCGTGTTTTCACTCTGTCACCGTCGTGTTCTCACGCTGTCACCGTCGCGTTCTCACCCGTCGTGCTCTCACTCTGTCACCGTCGTGTCTGACTCTTGTCACCGTCGTGTTCTCACTCTTGTTACTGTGATGCTCTCACTCCGCCGTTGTCGTGGTCTTACTCCCTTATCGTTGTACTCTCACTCTGTCACCGTTGTACTCTCACTCTGTCGACGTCGTGTCTTACTCTTGTCACCATTGTGTTCTCACTCTTGTCACTGTGATGTTCTCACTCCGCCATTGTCATAGTCTTACTCAGTCGTCGTCGTGTTCTCGCTCTGTCACCGGCTAGTTCTTATCCTGCCACTGTGGTGTTCTCACTCTTGTCACTGTGATGTTCTCACTCTGTCACTGTGGTGTTCTCACTCCGCCGTGGTCGTGGTCTTACTCCGTCATCGTCTTGCTCTCACTCTGTCATCGTCGTGTCTCACTCTGTCACCGTCGTGTCTCACTCTTGTCACCATCGTGTTCTCACTCTTGTCACTGTGGTGTTTTCACCCCGCCATTGTCGTGGTCTTACTCCGTCATCGTCATGTTCTCGCTCTGTCACCGTCGTGTTCTCACCCTGTCACCGTCGCGTTGTGTTCTCACTTTGTCGCTGTGGTGTTCTCACTCTGTCAATGTGGTGTTCCCACTCAGCTATTGTCGTGGTCTTACTCCGTCACCGTCGTGTTCTCATCCTGTCACTGTGGTGTTCTCACTCTGTCACCGTCGTGTTCTCACTCTGTCACCGTAGTGTTCTCACCCTGTCATCGTCGTGTTCTCACTATGTCACCGTCGTGTTCTAATCCTATAACCGTCGTGTTTTCATCCTGTAACTGTCGTGTTCTCACTCTGTCAATCTAGTGTCCTCACTCTGTCACTGTCGTGTTCACTCTTTTGTTGTCGTGTTATTACCCTGTCACCGTCGTGATCTCCCCCTGTCACTGTGGTGTTCTCATCCTGTCACTGTGGTAATCTCATCCTATCATCGTCGTATTCTCACCCTTTCACTGTGGTGTTCTCATCCTGTCAATGTGGTGTTCTCACTCTGTCATTGTGGTGTTCTCATTATGTCACTGCGGTGTTCTCACCCTATCACCGTCGTGTTCTCAACCTGTCACTATGGTGTTCTCACCCTGTCACCGTCGTATTCTCACCCTGTCACTATGGTGTTCTCACTCTGTCACTGTGGCGTTCTCATCATGTCACCGCGATGTTCTCACCCTATCACCGTGGTGTTCTCAACCTGTCACTATGGTGTTCTCTCCCTGTCACCGTCGTGTTCTCACTCTGTCACCGTCGTGTTCTCACCCTGTCACTGTTGTGTTCTCATCCCGTCACTGGTGTTCTAATCCCTGTCACCATCGTGTTCTCACTCTGTCACTGTGGCGTTCTCATCATGTCACTGCGATGTTCTCACCCTATCACCGTTGTGTTCTCAACCTGTCACTATGGTGTTCTCACCCTGTCACCGTCGTATTCTCACCCTGTCATTATGGTGTTCTCACCCTGTCACCGTCGTGTTCTCACCCTGTCATCGTCGTGTTCTCACCCTGTCACTGTGGTGGTCTCACCCTGTTATCGTCGTGCTCTCACTCTGTCACCGTCGTGTTCTCACCCTGTCACTGTTGTGTTCTCACCCTGTCACCGTCGTGTTCTCACCCTGTCACTGTTGTGTTCTCAACCTGTCACTATAGTGTTCTCACCCTGTCACCGTCGTGTTCTCAGTCTGTCACCGTCGTGTTCTCACCCTGTCACCGTCGTGTTCTCAGTCTGTCACTGTCGTGTTCTCACCCTGTCACTATGGTGTTCTCACTCTGTCACTGTGGTGCTCTCACTCTGTCACTGTAGTAATCACATCCTGTCACTGTGGTGTTCTCATCCTGTCACTGTGGTGGTTTCACCCTGTCACCGTCGTGTTCTCACTCTGTCACCGTGGTGTTCTCATCCTGTCACTGTGGTGGGCTCACCCTGTCACCGTCCTGTTCTCACCCTGTCACTGTGGTGTTCTCACCCTGTCATTGTGGTGGTCTCATCATGTCACCGTCGTTTTCTCACTCTGTCACTGTTGTGTTCTCACTCTGTCACTGTGGTGTTCTCACCCTGTCACTGTGGTGTGGTCATCCTGTCACTGTGGTGGTCTCACTCTGTCACCGTCGTGTTCTAATCCTATAACCGTCGTGTTTTCATCCTGTAACTGTCGTGTTCTCACTCTGTCAATCTAGTGTCCTCACTCTGTCACTGTCGTATTCACTCTTTTGTTGTTGTGTTATTACCCTGTCACCGTCGTGATCTCACCCTGTCACTGTGGTGTTCTCATCCTGTCACTGTGGTAATCTCATCCTATCACCGTCGTATTCTCACCCTTTCACTGTGGTGGTCTCATCCTGTCAATGTGGTGTTCTCACTCTGTCACTGTGGTGTTCTCACCCTGTCACCATCGTGTTCTCAACCTGTCACTATGGTGTTCTCACCCTGTCACCGTCGTGTTCTCACCCTGTCATTATGGTGTTCTCACCCTGTCACCGTCGTGCTCTCACCCTGTAACCGTCGTGTGGTCACCCAGTCACTGTGGTGGTCTCACCCTGTTACCGTCATGCTCTCACCCTGTCACCGTCGTGTTCTCACCCTGTCACTGTTGTGTTCTCATCCTGTCACTGGTGTTCTAATCCCTGTCACCATCGTGTTCTCACTCTGTCACTGTGGTGTTCTCATCATATCACTGCGATGTTCTCACCGTATCACCGTTGTGTTCTCAACCTGTCACTATGGTGTTCTCACCCTGTCACCGTCGTGTTCTCACCCTGTCATTATGGTGTTCTCACTCTGTCACCGTCGTGCTCTCACTCTGTCACTGTTGTGTTCTCACTCTGTCATCTGGTGTTCTCACCCTATCACTGTGGTGTGGTCATCCTGTCACCGTGGTGTTCTCACCATGTCACCGTCGTGTTCTCACTCTGTCACCGTCGTGTTCTCACCATGTCACCGTCGTGCTCTCACTCTGTCACTGATGTGTTCTCGCCCTGTCACTGTGGTGTTCTCACCATGTCACCGTCGTGCTCTCACTCTGTCACTGTTGTGTTCTCACTCTGTCACTCTGGTGTTCT